CCAGCAGAGCACCTAGGAATAAAGGGAGTCAAGGAACATGGTTGGTCCTGGACGCTAGGAGCTTGTCTTACTGAGTGAGTCACCACAGCCAAGGCCTGAGGACAGTAACAAACGAATATGACGGTACGAGGTCCACATGGTGACAGTGCATGTACTTGGAGTGTTATGTAAAGGTTGCTCAGAATTAGATACACAACAGATTCAAACTTTAAAGCTTCTTCAGTCTAAAGCTTCCCAAAAATCTACAGCCAAACCAAAATTTTCTAAATCATCTACCACTTGGAGCAATTGGTAGCTTATCTGGTATCTTTCCAGGGTGAGTCAAGTTAAATAAATGTATTTTGATTTTAAACATCTGCCTCAAAATTATCCAAAATAATTCTAGAAAAATAGGAATTTTCCATGTAACAAAAAGGCTCCATCTCCTTGGAATCAGGATGAGGCCACATATGCCACCAAGTATGACCCTCGGGAGTAGGACTGTAACTGCTGGCTCTCAGGAAGGGCAGACAAGGCCACAGGAAGTCATCCTCCTGTGGGCCGTCTGCTAGCACCCGGCTGTGGATGCTCCCATCCTCTGATTTCTAAAGTCTGCCTCATTACTGGAAAACAACTGTCAGAGGAACTTCATGTTCACACATCTCTGCAGATCTCAGGACAAAGGAGAAATGGAGGTTACCTGCTGAACTTCAAGTCACTGACTCCTTAGGTAGGGACTCCTTGGAACAGGTCTTTCTACACAGCTGTGCCTTTGTCACCTCTCTGCTGAGGAGCCACGGGAAATGGTCACCAACATGCGACCAAAACGTCTCAGAAATACTACTCAGAAGAGGCTAGGCCTACCACTAACCAGGATTCCAATGCTAACCAAGAAATGTACACTACATAGATCTCTTGGTAAAGAAGAAAGAACGCAAAGGGCCAGTTGCCTGGGTTCTACACCAAAATGTCACCATGTAGATCTGGGCAAGATGCTCTATTCCTGCACCCCAGGTTACTCAGGAAATGCAGGAGGGCAGGGTAGAAAATCTCTAGGATGCCAAAGTTAGAAGATTATCTGGTTATAGATTATCAATGAGAGACCAAGCTGTCAGTCTTGGAATGAAAGATCTTCCCAGGAGATGGCTCGGTGGAGATCACCTGGGAGTGGAGAGTCAGGTGAAGTACATGGCCTTGGAAGCTGGTGGCGAAGGCAGAATCAGTCCATGGTGTACGTCTGGGCCCAGGCAATCCCCACGTGGGAGTAGCAGTACAGGAACCCTAATACAGATAGGGTCACCCATGGCCAGCCTGTGGGGAGACAGAAGAGTGGTTAGACATTCGCTGGGGGCAGGGCCGCCTCCTCAGATCAGCTGTTCCCTGTGAGAAAGCAGCACAAAAGAACATGGCCTTGGTCTACACAGGGAAGCTCCTGGTAAGTCTGCTCCAACTGGAACCCCATTTGCACAGGGTCAGCATAAAGGTGTCTGTGAGCAGAAGTGCAGACACACTTTGGGCAAGCTCTTACAGGGTATGTGTCTGGAGGACAGAGCAGATAATGTAAAAAAGTTCCTGAGTCCCATGACCAATATTTGGAACTGTCATTTATAAGCCCACAGAAAAGGGGACTCTAGCTTAAATATTAGTTTACAAAATTCAAAACTCTTTGTGGTTCTTTTGTCTTAGAATATCTGTTCTTTCTTTTTTTAAATTAATATCTGCTGATATTTGTTATTTAATGATCTTCAAATATGCTACATATTTCACTTATTCAAACTTTTGGGGACTGAGGTGACATACAAGGCAGAAAAAAATCAAAGCTAAAGTTGAAAGACTTCATCCTTCGTCCTGGGGGATTTATGCTCAGCACAGAAGAGGCTGAGTAACAGCGTAGAGAGCACATTCGACCTGAGCCTCATGGGGAGGATGGGTGTCAGCGAGGGACAGGGACAGCTGCCAGGGAAACCGCAGAGAAGTGTCAACGTGACCGCCACTGAGGAACAGGAACCGTATGATGGGGCTGCTGCCACACAGCCGGAGGATCGGCGGGGAGGAGGACATGGGAAGCCCTGGAGGTCCGTGGTCCCAGCAGGCCCTTTTCTGGCCGTATCAACCATCAGCGCCTGCTATCAATGGTGAAGGAGGTGGGCCACAGTGGCCCAGGGTGCGGGATCTTAAACAGGAGACAAATTCAAATCCTGGATCTGCCACTTACCGGCTGTGTGACCCAGAGTCACTGCATGAGTCTCAAATATAAAACTAGGCAAGCGCAACTTAGTCACGGGTACCCTTACAGACGTGGCAGGATCGCATAGTGCCCAGCCCTCGACAAGAGGCAGCGCCAGCGGGAAGACACAGGTATTTCTCCGGCAGGCTTCATGTGACCTGCGCGTTGGGCCCTGGGCTTTCGCCTGCTCCGGTCCATCCTGCTCCTTAGCCTGCTTTGCGAAAGAACTCTTCAGAGCCCTGCAGAGGAGAGCACTGAGGGGCCGAGGCCCAGCCCCACAGCCAGTGTGGCCGATACAACAAACTACCAGAAACTCAGTGGCTTAACACAGCAAGCCTGCCTATCATTTCCTAGTTCTGGAGGCCTGGAGTCCAAAACCAAGGTGCTAGAGGGCCACCCTCTCCCCAAAGGCTCCCGAGCGGGTTCCTTCTCTCCTCTCCAGCTTCTTCCGGGCAGCATCCCACCATAACTGCAGCTCCTCGTATGCAGATTCCAGTCATCCACCCTAAATCCACAGCGACTTCCTGTCCAAGGCTATAATGAGTTATTCCCACATGAGGTCCCATCTGACAATCCAGGCCGCATGAACTCTCCAGGACCCCATTCAGGCGGCATAGCCAGCTGCTCCCCCTGAGCTGTGAGAGACATACCCTGCAGAGCCCGCTGCTCTCCCACTGTGGCCCAGACACAGAGCCGGGCAGCTGAAACCTGCTCTTGACAGGCCCAGGGGCAGCACAGGGTGGGGCCAGGCCAGGGGGCACCTGTAGGTGGCAGCTGCGTTTGGCTGAGGCATCAGTGGGTGTTTGGCAAACACGCAGCCCACAGGCCAGCTGCAGAGGTGGGTCCATGGGTATTTCACCTGCACAGGCTGGCCTGGGGCTCCTCTGGTGCACCCAGGGCTGTAAGAGCTGTCCCTGTGACCACTGCTGTTCAGCACACAGTGCTGCAAGGCACAGCAGCCCCAGGACCACCCAGAGGTGAGATGGATGATTCCAGTGGGTCAGCTCTCCCTTCTGCTGTGCAGCCTCCCCGGAAGAGGCTAGGGTAGCAGGCAGGAGAGAGTGCACCGCGAGAGCCTCACCAGACCCTAGTTTCCCCATCTACACAGTGGGAGCTCAAGGGTTTTTAGAGTGTGAATAATGGATGTGGTACTGCTTTTGAAAAGTATTTCAGGAATGCAGCTGGTTAATGAGGGGCCACCTGAGAATTCTTTCACCTATGCGCAATTCACTGGCCTTTTGAACACAGGAGTGACCCTCAGACAGTAGCCGTGGCCTGTATCCATGGCTCTCAAGGACTCCTCATCCTTCCTGACCATGGGAGAAAGGTGCACAGTGACAGGAAAGAGACTGATTTTACAAGGCACCACTCTGCATGCTGGGCCACCCCGAGCCCTTGGGTGTGCTCGGCCCTGGCCCAGACCTTCACAGCACCCGTGCCTGGGCGGCCTGTAGGCACAGGGCCTGGCTGAGGCGGCTTCTCATCCCGCACTCTCTGGGCCCGAGGGGGGAAGGGGGCTTGGGGCAGAGCCTCGCCTTCCTCAGGACCGGGACAGTGAGAGCGAAGGGACAACCAGTCACCACACACCACAGCATGGCAGTCGCACGGGCTCGGCTGGCATCACAGAGCTGGCATCGGAGGTAACGTCCGCCTGCGGTCCTCGCTCCCCAGCCTTCTCTCCGTGAACGCTGTTCTCACCCTGATTCCTGTGTCTTCGCCCCAGACCATCTCACGTCCCACCTTCACCGAAGGAAAAGCCTCCCTTGTTCTTCTTTTGAGACAGGGTCCCACTCTGTAGTACAGGCCAATTTCAAACTCAGAACTTGTCTCAGCTTCGTAAGTGATAGACTTACAGGCTTGTTACTACAGCCCACAGCTAGAAAGAGTCCTCTTCAAAGCCAGCATTTGTAGCTGGAGCCCCCTGAATACGTTGCACACTAAAGGCTGGGTCCCCAGAGTCAATGACATGTATAACTCCCAAAGTTTGGTCGCGTGCCTGACTACAAGACTGAACCGGGGAAGGACTGTCCCAGATCGCCGCCAGGCAGCCCAGAAGACACAGTCAACGACTGACAGCAAAGCACACCCCAGCTGCACAACCCTGGTAAGATTCGCAGTGAACAGGACTGACTGTTCTACAGCTGGAGCTGCACACACGCAAGTGGACGCAGCACAGCGCGTCACAGAGGACCGCCAAATGCAGGTGCGTAACAGACGGAGCTAGTGGGGTGTGGACAGCTGCACCATGGTACCATTAACAGGGAATGGCAGACTGTAAGGATGGCAGCTACTAACAAAGAGGCAGAGCACAGAGAGCACTAGCTAGAGCTGTGCAGACTCCGGCAGCACGATTTTACTTGAGATTATCATGGCTGAGCAATTCTTCGAAAGTTAAATTAGACTGAGACCAGAAAGGCAGAGCTTCAGACGTGAAGGAAACAATCACATCACAGCCCACGGACGGCACAGGATGATGCGCTTCTGGAAACTGAGGGGATAACCAAAGGAACAGCAGTCTGGGGGAGCCGTTCGAAAGGTGCAAAATGGTGTGCTGTGGATGCAGCATGCAGGTTCCTCCAAAGCGGGCTAGGGAATCACAACACAGACACCGAGAGCGGACAGCAGGAGCTAGAAGACACACCGAGTTCCGTGCTCACCGCAGGACACTCGAAGTGGAAGGCAGGCACAGCCGGGAGCCCCCGTGGTGGACAGATAGGACAGGACCCACACGGGCACCACGGAGGAGCTCCGGCTGCAGCAGGGACGAGCCTGGAGGACACCACGTGAAACAGAAGCCCACACACGGCAGAGCAGACGTGGGCCACCGGAGCGGCCACTCACGGAGACGGGCGCAGGGTGGTGGTTTCGGGGGCTGAGAGGAGAGGAATGGGAGTTAGTGCTCATGGGTGGAAAGCTGCAGTTTGGCACATAAAGTCCAGAGACGTGCGGTGGGGGAGGCTGCACAGCAATGTGAGCACGCCGACTGCCCGAACTGCAACTACAAACTTTTAAAACGTATTTTTGTCATGGAGAACATCACAATAGAAAGTCCCGCTGAGCGAAGGACATCCTTACATGAAGTAGCAACTACCTCAGTCACCAGAAGCCACCAGTACACCTGGAGTGGGCGGGGCGGGCCAGCTGCCGTGGCACCGGGAATCCCGGGCCGATGCCCACACTTTGCCTCTTGCTTGCGAGAATGATTTCCAGGGTGACCACAACTGGCAAAGCCCCTCCGATCCTACATCTCGAAAGGATGTTTGTGCAATGACTAGTTTTCAATAAGGCTGACAGAAATATTTTGCAAGTCACAGAGTCGCAGCATTGGGCTGCAGGGTCTGAGGCTACATGCACCCAAGATGTCCCCACGCAGTTCATAGGTTACAAGGCCTCAGACTTTCCGTCCTCCTCCTCCTCTCAGGAGGGCACTTGCCAGCGTGAGACCCAGCGCTGGTCCCCTCACCATGCCCTGGTCCACGGGGTGCAGAAGAGGAGGAGTGGTCAGAGGCGCTCTGCAGAGGGAAGTCTGTGGCTGAGTAGGTGTGATCGCAGCCTGTGAGAGAGGAGTAGGAGGCAGGCTGGGCAGCATCACGGCTCTGGCAGGGCCTTTGGGGAGGCCACATCCTACTGTTACCATCTCTGGAAGGAGATGGGAACAGGCTTCAGCCTCCCAGCACTGGGTCTCTGTGCACATGTGAGGTTTGTGAAGAATGTGCAACCGTCCACACGGCTTGCAGGGATCACGGGATCTTGGCGAATTCTCCTGGAGCCCTGAGGCAGGGGCTGCCTCCCCAGCTGGACGGAGAGACGGGGCGTGTGGGAGTCCAGGCCACCACACAGATGGCAGTTTCCAGAGCACAACACCGATGATCTCGCCCAAAGACACACTGTCTCAAAAGGGGCTGTGCCCAGACCCCAGAGCCCAGAGTTGGCTGAATTCTATTCGGAGAACAGACTGAAGAGCGGCACGCTGTCCGGTACTTGTATTTTTTAAATCTACCATCAGCACTGCCCCAGCTCCCTCCTTCCATCCGCCCAGGCAGTTCTCCGCCCTGGCTCCTGCTGCCTGCTGGCCCCAGCTCCT